CTGTTCAAGGATGTGTCAAAATACCATTGGCCAAACACAAGAATATGTCTCTTAAGAAGAAGCAATTGTCTAAGCTAAAAAAGCAACTTGTTGACTTACCATTCTAATAATATCAAGAACATTGTCACCATCTCGATAATCTAAATAAGATAATTTTTATTTTTGAAAAATATTGTGTCTAATAAGTTCTAGATCATGTTTGGTTAAACTTAAAATCCAATTAAAATTGAAAATATAGGCGTTATTGGGTCCTACTCGTCTAATAACAGTCAACAATAACGACTAATTTTTCAATTTTAATCTCTACCGAACCCGCCCTTAGAATTGAGTTTGTCTTGCCAAATTTTTTCTGCATTATGAAAAGTTGGGGAAGAGATCAATTTTGAGAGAAACAAACTCCTCTAGATAACATTATATGAAGGCTTCCAAGACATATCTTATGATTTATATTCTCACTTATTTATTACAGTTGGACTTGTTATTATTGAGCTAAAGTTAATTAATAAGATTAATTATTCGCCGTTACTCCGAATCTCAAAATAATAGGGAAGAATACATAATTACAAAGATTTCAAAACACACTTCAAAAATAAAAAAACTTATGAAAAAGTTTCAAAAATCAGGCGACCACCTAATAGAAGGTCGAGGTCACGATAACACACAATTTTGGTCAAAGTCACAAATTGCATAATGTTACGATCTTAAAGATATAAATTGTGACTGACAAATACAAATTAGTGGCAATTACACATTTTCTTAGATCACATATTATTAATTGATCACAAATTATTCATTTTACCACTTACATATTATATATTGGTCACAATCATCAAAATAATTGATCATATCCTACTCCCCCATTTGCAACTCTAATGACACCAACAAAAAAATTGACCTTCAATCTAAAATTGCAAGCAGGGCCTGCAATTTCACAAATTGCACTGGAGGCCCTGATCCTATATCTACACCCAAACCCAAATTTCCCCCCCTTCAGTTTTACTCTATAGACGTCGTTTCTGGCCACGCGCGGCGAGCTTTCTTAAGGCGCATCGAACAGTATCGGGCGTTAATGCAGCGTGGTGGTAGCGGGGGCAGTGCTTGGAATTATCGCGACGATACTTGGAATTTGCAGGAAGTCTTGAAAGTATATCCACCATAGTGGTAGCGGGCGTGGTGCTTGGAATTGGGGTGGTGGCGGCGACGGGCATTGGTGGTGGACTACAGTTGTGGTGGTGTGGATGTAATTGTGAATTGGGGAATGGGAAAAAGAATAAATTAGGGTTTGTTGTGGGGGACATGATAGACTTGATTTTTGAAAGAAAAAATCTCACACCTGATTTTTGAAAGGCTGATTGGTTTATTACCCCTATCTTTGAAACCTATTGTGCAGAACCTCTCACCTTTTGCAATTGACGAAAAACATTCTTGTATGAAGCATGGTGTGTTTTACCCCTCATCATTCATCTTTTCAATAAAAAATGTTGTAGATTGGCCTTCAAATTCTTCATACTGATGAATATTATTAGAATTATTATGGTTTTTCGCTCTTCAATTTTCCCAGTGATTGCACTTGTTGTAC